GACTGATCTACTCAAAGACACCCTGCTGGGAGGCCAGTTGTTTCAAAGCCAAGAAGGTGGAAAGGAGCAGGCAAAGTGAAGAGAAACAATTATGTTAGGATAGATAATTTTATTCTTAAAATGTTGAAAGGAAATATTTATAAGAAGTGGGTTGAAAGGAGTGGCAAATGAAGATATTGAGTTACAGCAACATATCAGAAGGTCTCTATTAATTACCACCACAGGAGTTGATTAGTACCTATGCAATTAATGATGAAAATTCTATATATGACTGCTCATATTTTTTTTCTTTATTATTTCCATCATCTTGTCATAGATTCATAGAGCTGTATCCTAAAGATCATTCAAACTCAAACTTCATTTTTATGTAAGATGAGTGGGGTATAGGGACATTAAGGAATACTGAGATAGCACTAAGTTGAAAGCAAGAAATATTTTCCATGTGGGTAGCACTTTGTAACTATACTCTTTAACCCTCCCATTAACTCTATCAGGGAAGTTGTACCATCCCATTTTGCAGAAGAGATAACTGAGGCTCAGAGGTTAGGTAACTTGTACAAAGTCCCACAATTGGCAAATGCTGCAGAAAAGACTTTAGACTGATCAGCCTGACTCCAATGCCTATATTCTCTCTGCATCTCTGAAAAGGGAAAGAAAAAGAGCTTCTAGGAGTGATAGATTATGACCAACCTGTGACCAGAACTCTAAGTCTCAACTTGTGAGCAGGGCCTCACTTACTTTACCTCATCCCATAAGAGGCTCAGGGTTTCTCCTTTTACCTTCTGATTTATTGGCTGGCCATCTCTTGTATATACTGTTCCTGGAATTAACTATTGCACTGGGGGCCTTAGCCCACAGTGGTCCGGATTCCTGGACTCTTCAGCATTTGCCACCATTTGGCCAGAATTCACATACAGAAAGTTATTTCCTTTTTTAGCAAATAAGTGCTGTTGGCTGCGGAAGTGTCTACTGCTGCGTTCCCAGCTGGCCAAGCAGCAGGCTCTGGTGTTCCATTGATGTCTCATTTAACAAAAACACCAGAAACAGTCATAGCTGGATGGAGGGACTCATAGTTTCTAAGGAACAGTGGGGCCAGGACCCTCTCTAGTTGAGTGACCCTAGTCAAGTCACCTAACCTCTCAGTTTCCAGCTCATATGAGGAAATGGGAATGTTGACTCATGGAAACTAAAGCATATGTGACTAATGGAAGCACCTAGCACAGTATCTGCCATATACAAGGCACTTGATGATGTTAGTAACTGTTTTCTTCTCTGACATTTCCAGTAAAAATCTCAAACATGATCCATCCATCCAACTTGATGTGAAATTTGAGAGTGCAGAAGGCTGATTATTAGAAAAGCAAGAAGTCCATGTGGCACCATGTGCAGGAAGGTAACTATCAGAGAGGGGAGGTGGGGCAATGGGAAGACACCCTTATCTGTAAATGAGTTGTTTCACTAGGAATTGGGACCTTCTGGGGAGGGCTGGAGAAGAAGGGAAGTTTAGGACCTGCTTGGATCAGGCCCTTTTTATTCCTGTGACAGGACCAGTCTGCCTCCTTACATGTCTTTAACTCAATCTTTTGTGTGTGAGTATGCTTCATGGAATTGATCCATTTGAGGAAGTGTGGCACTTCTGAAATTGATCACCAGGTAAAGGCATGCCCACACAGGGAGGTAGAAGCAGATTCAGGTCCACTTGACAGAGAAAGAGGGAGTTGTGTACAAACACAGAAGCAGGGAGCTCACCTGCTAGCCACCTCTGCCCTCTTCTGAAATTCTGAATCATGCCATTTCCAAGGTTGGAGTAAGATTCTGGAAGTCCCCTGTGACATCACAGGGTTATCATTTCCTGAAGAGGCTCTTTCTGGTTTCAGCTGTCTTGTTGTGGCTTTAGACAGACAAGCAATATCCACTCCACCTCCCTGTCCTGAACCTCAGTGTACTCCTGTGTAAAGCAAAGCAGGTGGGCTTTCCAGCTCTAAGTTAGAGCATGTGGGAAGTGTGTGACTTGCCTAGTTGTGACAGTATGGCAAATTAGTGGCAAAGCCAAAAGGCAAAGTCAGATTTTTAAACTTTCTGTAGTCATAATAATCAAGCAGTGCCAGCTCAGAATTATATGTCACTGTTGAAAGCCCTTTGCATCCAGTGAGATGCAGTTCAGAGACCTGGACTGAGGACCAGAAGACCTGGATTCTACCCGATGCTCTGTTGTTAGCTGAGCTCCTACTATGTGATAACCATGTAAGATATCAGGCTGGTGGTATAGGTCAGTAGTAGGATGCTTGACTGGCATGTGCATAGGTCCTGGTGTTTGAGCCCCAGCACCCACAAAGGCAGAAAAAAGCATTTATTTAATCCTCATAAAACCTAACTGGAAAATTTTTATTAGCTTCTTTAGCACATGAAGAAACTGAGGATCACAGACATTAAATAATTTGTCTCAAGTTACACAGCTAAAGTTATAAACCAATTGTGACTTCAAATGCCCAGGCTCATCCTTTGGTTCTACTCCTGAATTAGATAAACTCTTAATTCCCTCTGTGTTATTTTAATATCTCTGATTCTGAGACCTTCAGACTCCCTTTCCTTATAAAAATGGATTGCTAAATTTTTCTTGCCCATTATTTGCTAATATGTCAGAAATAATTGATTCACAAAGTGGCACCAAGCTGTCATTCACCAAGAACCATAAGCTTCCAACAGTAGGAAGGAAATCTACCTCTTTTACAGGAACCCTGAAGCTTTCCAGGAAAATGGGCACTTCTTCCCCTTGTCAGGTGGGCTTATGGGAGCTTGTTCACAGATTGCTGCTGGAATCCCCTGAGGAACAGTCTTTTCCTGAACAAGGGGAAGAGCTTGGCCTTGTTTCTCCTGGGCTCTGAGAACTGCAGGTCTTCCAGTTCCTGTCTTGATTAATCCACACACACACCCTATCTTATTTTAATTGACTGGGCCTCGAGGTGGGGTCAACCAGTACCCAAGGGGCCATCCTGCACTTTGGTAGCCCTGCTGACTGCTAGAGCCAAGACCCTCCACTACTCGCATCCCCTTCCAGTCAGTGCAGGTGAGGAGGAGCAGGTAGGGAGGTAGATGTCTCCACTAGGACACAGGATTGTAGAGATGCTCAAGCGGAAGAATCAGAGAAGCATGGGGAGAAATGGAGGCTGGGAAATATAGCCAAGGACAGGTTACAAGAGCTCTAGGTACAAGTAAGCATAGCAGGGTATTCTCCAAGTGAGTCCATCTGGACTCACTGTCATCAACAAGTCACTTTCCTTTTCTAGGCCTTGTTCTCCTTATTTGTCAAAAGAGGAGGCTGGCAATCTAAGAGACTGCTTCAGTTTTAATGTTTTAGGACTTCAGGCCAGTACTAGGAGGGGAAACAGGACTGAGGCAGCTAAGAGATAAGAACAAAGACCAGGGCCAGGAGCCCAGCAAAACACCACTGGGGTTCCATGGCAGTGGTAAGGCATGGTAACCTGATTTTGTGCTTGTTGTGGCTCTATGAATATCACAGGGAATGCTCACAGGGTGATAACCTCTGAGTGTTCTCTGCATTGTGTGCTATGGCCATTGGAAACTACCAAGCCTGGACAAGGCTTGGAGGGGCAGCCAAGGGAACAGACTCCTAATAGCTCTGCTGCTCTGGGAAACCTGACAGGAAGGTAAAAAGTCCAAGGCTGTCTCTAGAGAGCAGTGACTCGAGTTCTATGCTGAGCTGTGACTCTAGGGGCAATGGGTGGAGGAGATGGAGGCCACTTGACCTGCTGATGTCAAAGACTAACCAGTGTACCTCCAGCCACACCACCAAGCCAGGGAAGGAGCCACACCTCCACTTCCTGGTCTTGGTCTCGTCTCTGCTTAGTTTCTCTGAATTCCAGATCTCCTGACTCCCTGTCCAATATTCTCCACACTGCCCTTCCATCTCTCAGGCCCATCGGATCCTGGTGAGCAGAGCCTTGCTCCCCTAAATGTGCTGAGGAGGAGGAACCAGGAATCCCTTTATTATGATGGAATACTGTGGGGGCAGGAGGGGGGTGTCAGGGAGCAGGGAAGAAAAAATTGAACAAAGGATCTGAAAGCCTTGTGTTGGGCTTAACTTGGTCAGTGATTCTAAGTCACATTTGAGTTCATAGATCCATAGCCTTGTGCAAAGTTCCCACTGCATGGAACCAGAGGGGTCCTTCTACTTCAAACACTTCAGATGAGGAAACTGAGACCCAGAAAGGGGAGTGGACTCCCGTAGCTCACACAGCCACTCAGGGGACAAGACCCAGGCCTCCCTACCCCTCCCACCCTCTTTTGTCATGTTCTTAGAAGAGAGATCATGGAGTTAGCAGAAATCTCTCTGCCTGTGTCTTCTATGTCACACTGCCATCAGGTGGAAAGGAGACCTTCAGTGTGCACCTCTCCCATGCTTCCTGAGTCTCATCAGCCTCTCACCTGACTGAGGGCATCCTGGATTTCTCATCTGTGGCCTTGCACAGTGGGGGCATGAAATGCAGAAAACTGAGCAGAGAATATTTTTAAACTATCCAACATGCCTTACAAAGAAAAAAAAAATCAAAACACTCTCCTAGATGCTACAGAAAGCATTTCCAAAAAAAATTCCATGCCTAGAGGAAACATCGTAAAACAGCATTGGGTTTTTGTTTTTAAAGGGTCCATTCCCTCTTTCCAAAAGTTTGGGTGATCCACTTCTAATATGCCACCCGAGCACTGCAACTCCACGGGGAAGACTGGAACCCAAGGGTCCCCCACTCTCGTTTCTCTAGCTCCTTATAGATCAAGTAGGTCATGAGTCCACTGCCTCACTAAACCTCCCTAACATATCCAAACCTCACTCTTACAGGAAACAGTGAGCAGCAGAGGGAAGAAACTCATAGGTACAGAGAAAGAATTTTGTTTTTGTCTGGCCTCTGGACAGTCAAGTCTCTCTTCTGGCTACTCTCTATTGACTTGTAGTTTTATCTCTTAAAGTTCAAGTCCACCCTTACCTGCTTCTTTTCCTCCTCTCTGGAGTTTCTGTTGGTTTCTTGTGCTCTGGCTGCCTCTTCAACTGCCTGCTGTTATTCGCTCTTGAGCCTGTCAGTTGTCCCTCTTCCACCCTCTTTTTAATCTGTCACCCTCCCTCCTCCCACTTCTTCCTCCTCTTTCTCTCCCCACCCCTTTCCCCTCTGGGTCCCTCCCCCCCCTCCCCCACTTCATGCTCTTAGACTGTTTTCTCTCATTTAAAGTCTTCATCCTTGCAGCCTCTCCTCACTGTGCAACCCCCAGAAGGAGGCAGAGCCCCCCTGCTGTCCTCCTGCTGTTGCTGTTGCTGTCCTTGTCACAGAAATCCTTGGGGCTTGCCCTCTCTTATGTTCTTTCCTTTGCCAAGCCTCCTCGGAGTTCCCAAGTCATGGCTTTCCTGAGGCAGGAAAATTGGCACTGTCCAAGAGAGCCTGCTTCTCCATCCTTTTCTGTCATTCACACAAGCCCTTTTGGGACATCTACTATCCCCACATCAGTGACCTGGACACCCACCAGTACAGGAAAACTTGTTTTCACAAATCACAGCCATTCAGCACCCAGGGTACTTTTCCTGAAAGGAAAAGGACCTTGACCTCTCAGCTCCAAATGGCAGAGAGGAGAGGCATCCCCCACTGCCCAGCATGTTCTCTCTCCCCCTTTCTAACAAGGAGACAGCACCTGCTGTGTGTCAGACACTGGGCTAGGGGCTTCATATAGATTGCCTATTTTTATTCCACTTGATCATTCCAATTTCTAATTCTATGTGGTAGGCATTTTCTGCATTTCACATTTGAGGAAACTGAGGTTCAGAGAAATCAAGCAACATGATCATGGTGACCCAGTTAGTAAGTGGCAGTTCACCAAAATTCTCTTTGCTCTTTCTACAAAATCTCCCAGCTAAAATTGAACCAGTAAAGTAAGATCTTGTTATATTATATGTCACAGATTATATGTGAGCATATTCAGAAACTGTGGGGCATCTCTCTCCTCAAACTCCGCCACCCCACTCCCACCCTGGTCATCTTCTCCCTGCTCCCCAGCTTAAGCATTTAGCTATGGGCCCAGCAGTAGTGAGATAAATTTCAACAACAGGAGTTACTATGAGTGGACTGAGATCAGACAAACCATTGTCTAAAGCCTACACGTTATCACAACTGAAAGAAAACCTCAGAGACCATCTGCAACAGTCAGGGAAACTGAAGCACAAAGAGTCAAGGCTACTTGTCAATGTCACCCACAGTAGGTGGTAGATACAGGGCCAGTACCCAGATCTGTTTCTTTTTCTTTTTTATTAGCATAAATTAATTGTACAAAATGGGTTTCATTGTGATATTCCATACATGCATACAATGTACTTTGATTAAATTCACCCCAGATTTGTTTCTTTTTTTCAATTTTTTTCATTTTTATTGTCATATTATTGTTGTACAGGGGATACATTATGACATTTATGAACGTTCTTGTAATATATCATTGATGAATTCACCCCCTTCCCCAGATTTGCTTCTTACCCCACGTCTTCACCTGCTGCATGCCTTCCCCACACAACACTAGTCACAAACATGCCAAGATTTTGTAAGCTGTTCCTTTAATGGGTCATATTTTTCATGGGGGAATAAGCTTAGGATCAGAAAGAAGACAAAGACTATGGGGGGAGGCAAATTCCTGTATCGAGAGAGCCAACAGCTCTGATGAAAACAAACTCAGGACTCTTGGTTCCTTAGCCAGAGTTTCCCTTTTTTCCTTGCAGTATCAGATAAGCTTCTGAGCCAGCCTGCCTAGATTTGAATCCTGATGTTCCACTTGCTAGTTGTTGACATTGGGCAAAATAACTTCTATACAGCTCAGTATCCTCAACTGCAAATTGGGGATAACAATATCAACTAATGAGTACACGTATAGCACTTGTAACAGTGGCTGGTATAAGGAAGTACTATGGGTATAGCTGCAAAATACAACACAACACAACATAAAATTTGTCTCTTCCCTGCAGTCAGGGAACTCTCAACCATGGTTGGATAGAGTTCAGTATGTAAAACCAACAGGAGATACTGGTGATATCCAGTTTCTTCTCCAAAACAGAGATTGTCCCCACACAGTGAATTTGTCCCCACATCCCAGACACTGTACCAAATAAGACACATGGAAACACCCTGCTATCTCTAGATAGAGATGGCCAGTCAAAGAAATCATTAGAATTTCATTTGGGTATAATCTGAAAGTGGGGAAGGGTTGGTGGAATATTAATTTTTAGATGAGTGGACTGTCAATGGAGACACTAACTGCCAGTAATTGATTCCTAGATTCCCATCTCCTAGATTGGAGATGAGAGAAGAATGCCACTTCCTTCTTAAAGCCCAGGGAGGAGGAATTACTTAGGTGCAAGCACAGCCATGATTCTGGAGAGAGTATTAGGGGACAGAAAGCAAATGCTGCCATCCTGCTCAGCAGGTAGAGAACAAAGCAGTGAAGAAACGGGTGGACTGCTAGAGGGTCCAAAAAGTAGTATCAGGGCAGGGAGAGGCCAGGATCTCCTCTAGCCAGGCACCTGGCTCAGTGTGGCATCCTAGACAGAATATATTTTCATGGCCCCAAACTAAGCTGCTTTGGGAAGACTTTGAAGGAATGGTTTATTTCTCAATGGATTCTTTCCTGGGCTGAGGCAAGTATTCTGTCTTTTGTAAGGAGAGTGACATTTGGGTGCTAAATCTTGAATGAATGTCACCATATAGGTAAGGACACCATAAGCCAATGCCTGATGCCCCAGAAAAGAGAGGATAGCACAAGGGCCAGTTCTGTTGTGACTTCCCCTTCACGCTCACGCTAAGTGTAAGAAAGAGTCCTATAAAGATGTGTTGAGATACATGTTCCATACATTAAAAAATGGGATTGCAAACCAAACTTTGTTCAGTATGTGCTATGTGCCAGGCACAGTTCCCATTCTTTTCTTTAAGATGAAAAGATAGAAAAATGACTTCATGAAGCCCAATTAGCCACTCCTGTGGGCTTAGTCTATGCTCAGTGAGAGACAAAGGCCTTCCCTGTCCACGGGGAGCTGATATTGCAAAAAACAACTATTTGGGCAAGACAATTAGCATAAGTGCAGTATTCAGGTATTTTAGAGACACGGTCTCAAGAACTATTTCCCTGGGCTGGCTTCGAACTGTAATCGTCTTGATTTCTGCCTCCTGCGTAGCTAGGATTACATGTGTGAGCCACTGGTGCCTGACTAGTGTGATCTCTTTGTTGTGCTGTAGTGAAAGGAAATGGAATGGAACTTTTACTGAAGGCCTTCTGTGTACCAGGTATTTTCACCTCACAGCACTGCAAAATAGTGTGGCATTATTTCCATTTTACAGTAAAGAAAATTCAGATTCAGAGTTTAGTAACTTGCCCAATATTACTAAGTAAGTAGAAAAGAGGTCTGCCTGATGCCAAAGGTCAGATGCTTTCTCCCCACAGCTGTAGAGAAAATTCTTACGAGCCCCATTGGTCTGGGAAGAGAGGGGGCACAGGTCACTCTGGATAAGAGCAGACAGACCTCCAGATAGCATAAGAAGAACGAGTTCCAACCATGGCAGGAGAAATTGTGTTTGGCCATGAGTATGAAGGCAGCTAAGTACTGAAATTTACAAGAGGCACAATCACATTCCCCTCAAGCTTTTTAAAGGTGGCATCTTGAAAATTGCTTCTTTTTTTCCTTCTCTCCAGAGGCAAGAGGGCAAATGAGGAGACCTTTCTACATCTCCTTCACCCAATGAATCTCTTACTCTACAAGATCCCTTCCCAAGACTCTGGGTCCAGATGTTGTTTTCATAGCTACCTCCCTTATAGCCTACATGATAACACGTCCAAGTAGTTTCTGTCTGCCTCTAATTGCAAGAGCAACGAGTTCCCCCCCACCCCACCCCATGCCTCACTGGAGACATAGATGGGTAATTAGAGCCATGGGGAGTGAACTGAGATCACACTTTTCTGCATAAGCCATTCCCCTGAAGACTTTTACTTTCCAGATAAGGGTTAAAAAGGGCCAGAATGCTCTGTTCCAAGAAGTAGAAAGCAAAAGAAATACAGACATCCTTGCCCTTGATGCTTTGGTCTCAAATTTTAATCCCAAAGACAAGGTCAAGGTCACATCCATACCTTTTCTTGGGTGTAAGGCAGATGGGGGTCCTCTGGGATCCCAAGCTTTACAACTTCTTTGTGGTGGGCTTGGGGCCAAGGAGGAAGGGAAAGAGGGGCAAGGGGGAAAGGAAGAGGGAGAAGAGAAGGAGGAGGAAGAATCCAGTGCCAGTCAAGCCTAATTATTTCCCACTAAAGTCAGAGCATGAGGGCTAAAGCTGGGTGAAGCTTCACATGAGCCTGAGAGTCCCAGGACTGAGGACTGCTACAACAAAAAAACACAACTTTACCTAGATCTTGGGGTGGCAGTTGCCCTCTAAATCCAGAGGGAAGTCCTCAAAAGTGCAAAGACTGAGAGTCTCAAATTCTGCTCCTGTTATAGACAATGTCTAGAGACGGTAGTACCTACCTGGAGCACATGCCTTTCTCCACTAATAAAGTATGCAAAGTGCACACCTCCTCCCACCTACCCACCTCACAAAGACTAAAATGGACATGCTCCTTTATTTTGAAAAGTGTTTTCAGTCAAGTACAAGGCATAATACCAGGCAGTCTACTGATAAAAAGATTAAGAAACTTTCCACAATATACTGTCAACTCAGATGCCCTCAGACAAGTCACTCCAAAGTATAGGGATATCATTATGTATAAACAGAGGTACGATATCTTGTGCCTGTCTTGATAATTTAGCCACTGATGTTCAGAACATAATTCAAACAAGAAGTTTCACATTTCCTCCCAGATTAGCCTCTAAATTCAACTTTACTCTTAGGGTCAAGTAATTTCAGGGGCTTAGAGGCATTTAGCAGTTTTAAATTTTCTCTGGTTTTTTCAGAAGTTAGTCTCACATTCAGTCACCTAAATACTCAAGATAGAATGGACTGGATTTGGGGCAAGTACCTTATAGTTACAAGTGCTTGCCTGGGCTCCGATTTTGACTCTTCT